CCGATTCGTAGGAGAACAGTCATCAGTCGCGCGCTGATGCCTGTTGGTTCACCCACCAGCTGGCCTTGGAGGCGATCAGATATCGAAAATCCGACCCATATTCATGTAATGCTAAGGCGGTGTTTCCCGCCCAGTAGAATGTCTAGCCATCACCTGCTTAATGCAAGTTATCTTCTCAGCGAGCCGGGTTTCACTGGGCTCTGCAATATCGATATGGTAGCGCGCTAGTTCAATCGCGATGAGTGCAGTGCGTCGCTCGGGGCGCTCGCTGTAGTTCCGGTCCAATAATGAACGCATGTTCCAGCACCCGATGCTGAGTGCTTTGCGCGCAGCCATACGATTGCATTGGTCGGCAGTCGCACGCGAAGTGGTCGTTGTGCTTCGGAAGTTTGCTTGAGGGACTCCGCCCGGAGTCTTTGGCTCAATAGCCTGACACACAAGACAGTGGGGAGCAGATCCAGCTCGGGAATGTGATTGTAGAGACAGATTCGGATCTGCGTGACGACCGTCACATGCAGCGTTGGAGGTACTGGAACGATTTATATTTGCTTTGCGCCCGTAATAGGATACACCTGCGACCACGGCCAGACGCAGGAGGGTTTTGGCGGGTTTGCACCAATTTGTCCAGGAGCTACCTGGCTTGAGGTGGGCAGTAACAAACCATTAAACACCCGGAGGTGCCCTTTTACCGTCAGAGACAATGCGTGTCGCTCGTGCTCTACGCCAATCGAGCTGTGAGCTTATAACCCTTAGACCTGTTGTCTCCCATGGCTAGGTTTTAGGGGAAGAGGGCCATCGACCACTTCCTAACATCCGAAGAGAATGGACTAGGATACTGGCAGGGCGTCCACACCTGACAGGAGAACGACTTGGGTCCTCAGCCAAAGTCTTTGATTAAATGAACACTCGAAAGGCAGCGGGTCTAGCACATAGTCAGTTCACTGACTCATGCAGATTGGTGTCCTGGATCTTATCAGGGAGGAGGGTGAAACCCAGCTCCCACCCAGCGGTCGTCACGAGGAGGCGTCCAGGACATGAGCCAATGGCGCAACAGTAGCAGCAGTGGGTAGGCCATCTGTCAGGATCTAGCCACAACCAGCCTCAACGAACCATAGGCTGCCCAGCCACACAACCACTTGCGCACATAGGTACACATGCTTTCAGACAGCAAGCTTTCCGGCTGCATAATAGTAGGGTGATTTGGAACGACCAATGACCAACTCAGTCTTAATCCGTTAAGTAAGGAGCAGCACTCGAAAATTGCAGGCAGTACGCAACGAAGCCTGGTTAAAGTGTAAATTATCCACAACATTAGAAAGCTAGTATAACTAAGTAGCCCAACTAAATCACTGCACTCAAGCGCTCAGAGAGGACAAAGCCGCGCATCAGCAGAACATGGCGAAAAGCCTCAGTGCCAATCACAAACTACCGTATAAGCATGTCAATAGTGTACGGAAGTTAAGCCAAGTAGTTCTGTCACTTACGACGGCTGATGGGCCAACACTAAGTGTTACGGTAGCAGCAAACGCGTTGCGGATGCTGTATGCTCCCACCTTCCAGAAGGTAGCATCATCAGGATATCCTCCAGCTTTTACCGACTCACCGCTGGGACTCACACATATTTCCTTTACCACCGAAGCGGACTTGTAGAAACTGACCACTATAAGCAAGCACAAATCTCCGGGTATCGATTCCAGGCGCCCAGAGGAACTGGGAGTAGCAGCAAGTCAACTGGCGGAGTCACTGGCACAGTTCTTCCAGCGCTGCTTAGACCAGAACCAAGTATTTGCCATGTGGAACCTTGGAATAATAACACCTATTCATAAAGGTGGACGCCGGACCAAGGCTCAAAACTACTACCCAGTTTCTCTTCTTCCTCTACTGTCCAAGGTGTTGGAATTCATCATAGTCGATGCGCTGGTTGGCTATTTGGAAAGATCTAACATTATTATTTCTGAGCAGCACTGTTTCCGTCGAAATCAATCAAGCACAACGAGGTTGCTAATAGCACGGAGTAGCTGGACCCAGTCAGCTGACGCTGTAGAGGAGGTTGATGTGATCTACCTGGATTTCCCAAAAGCATTTGACCGTCTAGATCATCGGATACTCCTTTCCAAGCTACAGCGGCACGGGATCGGTGACCCTCTTCTAAGCTGGATTGCCAGCAATCTCCTTTAGCTGCAATTGGTGGTCAGAGTTCGGAGCTCGTTCTCCGACCCCATACAAGTTGAATGTGGTGTTTCTCAAGTCTCGGTGCTAGGTCTCCGATTGTTTTCGATATTTATCAATGACCTCACACAGACAATCCCATCTAACTTCCTGCTGTTTGCCGATGACTTCAAGATTTGGCGCAAGGTTCAGGGTAATACTGACCAGCAACTGCTTCAGTGTGGTCTAGACACGGTAAATCAGTGGTCCATCCAAAATTCACTGCAATTCGATGCGAACAAATGCAAGGTGCTTTTCATACAACACCAAAGCAAGCACTGTTACAAGCTCGGAACGCACGTGTTTCAGCGAGCTGCCACCGAACGTCATTTGGGCATACTGGTTCAGGATGGTCTGAGTTGTTCCAGGCAATCCGCGAATGCCTCCAAATCTGTTAACCGACATGTGGGCCTGTTACGACGGGCGTTCGGACAAATAGATCACTCTAGTTTCCGGCAGTTGCTTGGTACGTATGTTCGTCCTCTTGTCGAATATGCAGTTCAAGCCTGACACCCATGGTTACAACATGACAGTGTATTGGAGCAATCCCAATGTCGAGCACTAAAGTACTTTACTGGAATGCACCATCTTCCATACGGGGAGAGGCCGGAACGATTGGGGGGGGGGGTATTCAACGGATGTTACCGCCGCTTACGAGATGACTTGATGATGGTGTATTTAATTCTGCACGATCTACACCATTTGTGCCGCTCTTTACTGGAACTCGGCAGTAATATCAACTTGAGAGGTCACGCACTAAAACTGACAGAACAGTACAGCCGCCTGGATTGCCGCAGAAATTTCTTTTACGTCCGCGCGTTTCACACGTGAAATGTTCTTCCAGTATCGGTAATTTCTGTACCATCACTATCCATAATTGAAAGAGGGTTGAATGACTCACTTAACTACACTTCGTTATCTAGTACTATATCTCCGTCCTACTCCTGAGAAACACTTTGGATTTATTTGCTGTTGCATGTTTGTGTTATACAACTGCACGGATCGCAGGACTACAGCGAAACAAACGATAAGTCCCTCTTTGAAACCTAAATAAACCACTGTTTTTAATATTCGACAACCCTGCAAAACCACCCAACGGGACATGTAAAGCATTGCTTCTTAACCCGTATAAATTCATTATACCCATACTACCATTGTGTTTACTTATGTTTATTATGACGCAGCATTGTGCTGATGGCTGAAATGAGATAAATTCTCTCAACACAATATTTGGATCCATACATCGCCTTAAGCTTTACCCTTTTGCATAACGTGGGACACCATACGAAATAGGATACATCCTACTTTTAAACCACTGGTTATCCCATGTTTTCATTTCTGTACCAAACTCTGTGTATATCTGGTCATATTTTGTCTGCTTATCTTCGGACCCCTTTAATAACTAAGTCAAGATGCTCTACACAGAATACCGGTATGCAGTTCACTACAATTTGCTTGGATTTACTCCCTATATCCCATGTTTCATGGTCGTCGTGCGGACCGAATGTTAAATGCTAAACTGTTTCCTATCGATCATCATTGTAAGCATTACAAAATGTTATGAAAACCTGTTTGCATTGCTGGTGGCAACAAGGTGCATAATCTCTTGTCTGGATTCCTTAACTAGAAAGAGCGTTATAAAAGCTGTTCACTAAACTGTCCAACTCTGTCCTCCCACTGGAGGTCATGAGAAAGCTTAACATAAAAACTGAAGCAGATGAGATAGAATGAAAGTGGGCGTTTCCCGCCAGAAAACACTGCAATCCCCGACGGTTTTAAATCTTATTTGACCTCATCAGATAGAGATAACAGGCATCGAACTCTCTACCATTGGGATGTTATTTGCACTTTCTACTCCTGAGCCACCGGGTCACGATGGGAAACGCTTGGCACAATGGTTTATGACTGATTAGGGAGTCATTCTGATGCACTCATTGTGTGATAAGATTTCGACGTGAGATCTCAATGCGGATCCTGATTCGCATTGAAGTTAACCATAGTCAATTCGATTACTAGGACCGTAGCTGATGAGGCAGAAGTAACTCGGATGTTGCCCACCCTAAAACAGCTCGCTCTATGACGCGCTTCGACCTTATATGATCTCATCAAGTAGTGATAAGATGCCGCGCATCCAGGACCATTTGGCTACTGGCTGGGACCTCTGCCCCAATGAAAAATTACGGTCCACATTGAGATTGCGCGTCGCAATCCAATCACACAACGTGTACTTCCAAATGACCCACTTATCAACAACTGTAGCAGTTTCCGCAAAACTAGCAGTTTTCAAACTAGCGAATAAAGCCGCTTTGCTGCGTTACTACAGCACTGCATTCGTTTGCTGAAACTCTTGTTTATTCGACTAGTGTAGACCAGTGTCAAGCATGCAATTTTAGATAATTGACACCCCACAGTTTGAGTTATCTCCTGGAGGTTAAAGTACTAGTTATAGTTACAATATTAACAGAAGTTTAACCTAAGGAATAAAGTCAGAAATATAGATCTTGTTCATCTACTGCCAAACACATAGACAAACTGACCTGTAATCTATCTATCTCTGTACAGGCAGCGGAATGCTGCTCAAGCATCTTTGTATGTTGATATGGTAAGGATGATCGGAGAATCAGGGATGCTGCTTCTAATGCTGAAATTTCGCAGTGACTTTAGCGGTGAATTGTATTTATTGGCTTTAAAACATGGCATGCAGGTATACCAGAATTGATGCTTTTACTGTTCACCAGCTGCCACTAAGTTCTTTTGCATCTGTTCCGTTCTTCCAACTCCTACATCTGAAGAACAATCTTATTCACGCTCTTCGAATAAAATCATCGTTGCTTCGAGGCGAAATCAGGGAAATCAGACGAAATATTCGACTGACAGAAATTGATGACAGCCGCCCAAACAAAATAGACTTCAAGGTTCTGCAGCAGTCGAATGCGTTATTTTTGGAGCACTTGCAAGCGAAAAATATCGCTCTGGTTCGTACTAAAAAATTTGGTTCTGAACTAGCCACGAAACTTCGAATATACAAAGTAAGCTCGTACCATTTTTTTACTAAACTTGCTCCTACTTTTCGGGTATCAGGCGCAGCTGACCAGGCTTACGATTGAGAACGAAAAGTTTACCACGCGGTTGCAAAGTGACCAAAACCGAACACAACCGTACTCCGAAGAAATGAATAAAGTCCTTTGTGTAAGAATTACGCGAAGCGTTTCTAAAAATTTACTTTCCATGTAAATTGCATCAAGGTATCAGCCTTTTGACATATATCATAATGCTATATAATTCTCTAAGTCTTTCCAAGCAAATGTCGTTTTAAAAGCAAAAAGGTCAGTAGTTTTCTTCCCTGGTTTGTCTAACTAAACAAAACTCTTGTCTTTCAAAAATGGCTGCAAAATTAGGAATGAATTTGGAATGATACTGGGAAGCTCCCATCAGTGCTCGAAACTTATGAACTTTGGTGAGCGACTTCACATCAAACCATGGCTATATCCGATCAAGCTCTGGTTTGAATCCATCAGCTGCAACCTGATAGCCAAGACAACTGATCTCTGGGACAACAATAAGACACTTTTCTGGGTTGATATTCATATTAGCATCCTTGAAGCCTGTTAAAAGTGCAAGCAATCGAAAATCGGAAATACATTAAAAGATTACATCTGAAATCCTGCTACTCAAGAGTAATATGGAATAAATATCCTCGCCCAGTTTCAAACGCTATGGATATAGCGTCTAGCGAGAAGACGTCATCACCTCCCAGGTTATCCACTGGCAGTGACAGTGAAAGGTAGGTGGTGCTATATCCCAGTTAGCTTGCAAATTATATAGCCCAGCCAACGTCCCTCATGGCTCAGTGACTTTAGTTGCTGGCTAGTTGGCAACTACCTCTAGCGGTTATGGTCACACCCTTAAAGGCAAGTGGAGAAACGCCGCATTACCCTTACTACGCAGCTACTGCAGCGTAGTCGTGCCAACGAAGAACCTGCTTCTATTCTCTTTCGTCTGCATTGATCCACGATTTTCTCAGAGCCAGCTTTAAAAAACGCATATTTGCAGATACCACTCACTGATGATTAATGAACTGACCGCCGTTTACACACCTGTTGGGTTGTACTGGTATAGATTTCTTCCCTTCGGTCATAATGTGTCGCCAGCCATATTCCAATCTGTGATGAGCACCATATGTGAGGCCTGGAGTGTGTCGAGGTTTAACATGACGACGCGTTTGCGCGCATACCCGACAAACGCACGCATGACTACTCGTGAGTAGCAGGAATTTAGATTTACTCTTTTATGGTATTTATCCCGGTAGTTCACAAGCTACATAGCACAGCCTAGTCGGGAAAAGCACCAGACGGGTTTAGCTTTCTTTGGACTCGTCAGTTGTGTGCATTCTGTTCGGCCCCTACTGGGGATCAGGGTGTGACAATAGGTGTGGTCCGTCGTGAAGTTTATACTGTGACAATAATCCCTGCTTCACAGCGAGACAAGTACCTTACGAACAGCATCTCTTAGTCCAAATGGAAGTATACGACGTTTACTGGAACAGGATCACCGGCTACTTCCAAATTAAAAGGCGGGATTTTCATTCCAACAGATGTCACTGAACAATCGAGTGTCAGAATCAGTGTGTGACAGAAAAGTGACACTTATTTTAAGCACATGCATAACTTTTAGATGGAGAGTGGACAGGCCTCTACGAACGACAGAAAAGTTACACTGGATAGAGTCAGAATGATTATCTAACACAGGTAAAGTACAACAACCTCTCACCGGAGGGGTATGTCCAGTAATACCTTTAATAGTGATGGATGTAGTATTAAGCTGAACATCAGAGTATGGATGATTGAGACTCGTTTTAGAAGTAAGATACCACACTACCAGTATCAACAATGAAATGGTGTGATGTACCATTCCTGAAACGTAAAGTATTGAGTAAGTGACCACTTGTATCCACAGCCAGTGTTGACGAACGGAAATTCTTTAGCGAGTTCACAGAGGCATCACCAACTTGTTTCACCATATTACAAACAAACTTTTCCACACTGATGGCAGTTAGAATTCCGATGCGGTAAAGTATACCAGGAATGCAACTTTCCACAAGAAACACTATCCAATCTTGTTGTCGATTTGACCACATTTTACACTGTCTGAATATTTCTGGGAGTGCGATTAAGCAATGCCGTGAGGTTTAAACGCGCTACCTTATCACTGTTTTCTCGTTACGGCATGAACTCGGCTTTTGGTTGAGCCAGATAAAACTTGTTGATCAACAAGCAGTCGTCTGGGATTTTGTAATCTTCGAAACATCCTGATAGTGAAAACAGATGGACTTCACTTGGTTATAAGTCGGTGCTGGAAACGACAAGCGCTGTCGACATAAATCGGGATTATCTATGCCAGCATTCAGACGATCTCTCAGGTATTCATCAAGCTGGTTTCCGAATGCACAAGATGAACCTTGGGACTGAAGTTGGAGGATGAAATCTCGAACAGATTGATTAGGTTGACGCACCAGTAGGTTGAACTTTACCCTTTCGGCAACCACGAAATTTTCCGGTAATAAATGAGACAACAGGTCTCCAAGTTTACATAGAATAATCGACGGTAGTTAAGGATAAGCCAGAATTTGTGGGTGAATATGCCTCTCATCTGACAACAGTTAAAAAGTGAGCGCCTTTAAGGTCTTCACGTATGTCACCTTTGGTGAGCCACTATAGCTCGAATCTTTCCATGTATTCTTGTAATCCTCGGGGAGATACATTTATCTTTGAGGATTCGTTAGCTGAATTCATTTTAGAATAATCAATGACCTCGACACCAATTATAGTAGGTTCGGAATTGAATTAGACTTAGGCTCCAACCAAGCTAGACTCGGCTCGTAATAAGAACACCCAAATTGGATTTCGGATTTCGCGGGTATGTATTCTAAATCAGTTGATGAAAAGAATAATAATAATAATAATCAATCATTGCATATTGTATGTACAAGCATCACAAGCCCTCAACACTCTAAGGGGTGCTGTTTCACGGCAAGGGATGTATACCTCATAACTCGAAAAGTTTTCGTGTGAGGTGCTGTTGTAGTGCGCATGCCTCATCCGACACCTTTTATGGTGTATATTTATATTAACCTTTCTGGACATTCACGTGAACACGGGTGCAAAGTAACCAACATTTTGTTGATGGTCAGGGTTTTGAGCTCAACACTTTTGCTGCAAAAATTTCGTCTCCATCGAGATTACATGCTGTATTTCAATTCGCAGCAGCGAATCAAAAAAATCCTTCCTGCATGTACACCAATGTCTAAGGCCCCCTCAGTAAAATTTCTGAGCCGCGACTGCCTCAGGCAAAGCTGTGACTCACTTGTGTTCTGGGATTACGGATTCCCAGATCGTCATTCACAGAATGTCACTCTTCTGAAACGATCGTACTAGCAGGGGAAGTGGTGTAATCTTATATTAGCGCGATGACTTACAGTGCAAACCATTGGACCTACCGGAGACGCGAATCACTGATTCGCTTTGGGGCCGTTTGTGTCTCAGAAACAATGACAACTGCATCGTGGCGGTCGTATATCACCCCTATCGTGCATTCCAGAGAAGGACTCCTGTCTAATATCTGCATTGACAAAAAGCTTACTCCCAACTTACAGCTACATTCTAATCTCAGGCGATTTCAACCTACATGACTTGGCACCAATCCGTCTAAACAACTTTGCAGCTTAGCAGAAGAGGCCGAGGGTTGATGATTTATGTCAATGATAACGTCATCTGCATAAGCAAACCGAATGGTTTCTTCTGGGACAGGTATGGGGCCAAGTTATTTAGAGAATATGAATGGTGCCAACGCAGCTCCTTGAAGGCCACCGACAGTTGTGATAAGTGGAGAGGAGTAATTTGCCGCCAAGGATGGTGACCTTAGTTCGTTTGGGGAAATGATCCTTCAGCAAGAATACTAGAGTAGGTTGAATACGAGATGCCTGTAGGTCTTCCAACAAAATTTACGATCAACACAGCCCAAAATATCGCTGTTGTCCAAGAATCAGGTACGTGGGGATTTGCTCTTACTCTCTAGTGTCGACAAGGCTGAATGGTCTAGACCAACTACTGCATATTGTGTAGGTTTTGAAGTTCTGTATGCAAGGTGAAGTGGTTCATCCAAGCGGGACTGGGCCAGTATTTTGCTAAGTGGGCCTTTCACAAAACCTTCAAGGCGAATGAGATGGATGCGATAGGCTGATATTTACACGTCCCTTCTTTCGGTACTGGCGTTATGTCAGAAATCCTTCGACCATCCGCGATTTTCCTTGCTCTAAGCACATATTGTATAGCTAGGACAGAGACCGGGCTAAGGAATCGGCACACCGCTTGAGCACGAGAGGCTGCCGCCTGTCACGTCCGCATACCTTGTCTGAGTGCAGCTGTGTTAGCTTATTGTACAGGGATGCGACATCAACTGGTGACAGTAAGTCCGTAGACCTTTGGAAGGGTGCAGTCAGAGAACAAATCACTGGTGGTGAAGCAGAACTTTTGATTCAATTCTTCTGCGTTCACAACAGAATTTGGGCTTTGACAGGTGAATCCGCAGAACTGTTTCGTCATCCGCCAAAACTAACAAAAGCTATTGTTGTAGCTTTGTGTATTACGCTGAATATTCAGAGGAACACACTAAAATAACACAAACAATCGCACGCTACAACATCTTAAGCGATCTGCTTGCGATGACCGATTAGAAACTCTTGAAAGATGGCTCTCATGACAACCACTGGATCCAGTTTTCTGGAGGTTTCAGCAACCTGATCGCAGCCTCTTCAGAACCAAAGGCATCACCGCTCGCCAAAAGTTGAACTCGAAAACTCGTGTCTCTAAGAAACACAGCTTGACGTGCTGACTGGGCCAGTCCTGATCCCGAAACCGGGAGCGACCATATAAGCCTGCACAACCATTGAAATACGCCCGTCCGTGAGGGAAAAGTGGTTCGACAACAACATATGGCTTGTAAAGTTGCCAGCAACTGAAAGCTCTCATATAGGCATGTTAACAACATTCGAAAAGTGAAGCGATGTATGCTTCCACTTAACGCGGCAGTCGGTGTAGCACAGAGCGCTGAAGAAGCGGACATTGCTCTACGGATGAAGTATACCTTGTCCTTCCAACGAGACGTACGCCACTCTTACAAAACTACCGCAA